TTTATGTTATATTCAGTAAGGCTCCAAGGCGAGGCATGTTTATGTCTTGGTAGGTTTTGTTCGTGGTCTTGTTTTGCATCAGTGTACGAGGTGTTCAACGACTGCAGTCAGCCGTGGATTTCGTATTTCAGTTATTAGTAGGACGGTGTGGGACCAGGAAGATCTTGGACAGATCGAATTTGTGAATTTTTGGTCCACATGATTGATGTATAGGTTATTATATTCTTTATTTGTTGGGGCCAATGTTTGGATTCGCCTTTGTATCTGAGTATGAGCTTGTCGGCATCGGCGTTGGTCATGGAGTCTGTTTTGCAGTTATCAGTAAGACGGTGTTAGGTTAGGGAGGTCTCGATAGGACCAAATCTACGAGTCTTTGGCCAGCATGGTTGATGTATGGGGTGTCTCTGTCTTCCTGGGGGTTAGGAATGACCTCTGAGTCTTCACGGTATGGGCGAGGGAGTTAACTCTTTTTGAGGTTGGTTAGTTGGTGTTTGTTTCTTTGTCGGGTTGTATATTTCTCGGTAAGGATTGAATCGGATTTTAGCTTTGAAGGAAGTGTCTGTTTAGAGCATTGTTTCAGATCTGCAGCGGATGTGATTTCGACCTTTGAGGGCTCTACCTGGTTATGGCTTATGAGTCTGGTTTGGAAATCCATTGGTTGGTAATTATGGATGTTGGCATTCTGAGTGGCGTCATCTTGTGTTGAAGAGGTCGGGGTTGGAGAACCTACAAGGGGTTCGGAGGGCGTTATGTGAGTAATTTGTAAGGACATATTTCAATGACAAAATCTCATTTAAGTGGGGGGGGGGGGGGGGGGGGGAGTTGTAACACCCGTTTCCCATATCGGATCAATTAAAGACTAAAAGGAGTCAAAGATGTGGTTTTGAGGAAAATTACATGCCACGACGTGGTGGGATAGTGTCCACGACGTGACATGATGATTAAGTGATCGCATGTCCAGACGGACGCCACGACGTGGCAAATAGGATGCCACGATGTGGCAAGTGGGTTCAGCCCAAGCTCATAATTTTTAGGGTTTCCTTCGTGTTTAAGGGCCTTAACTCTAGGTTATTCTCTTCAGCCTAATCTCCCCATTTCATAACCCTACCCTCCTTTAAGCTTTTAGAGCTCATTTTGCAAGTTTTGGTAATTCTCAAGGAAGAAGGTAGAAGTTTGGTACATAGATCCAGCAAGCAATCCATCCCCATACTTGTGTGCATCTTCTAGACCATGTGTGGGTTGTAGTACCAGTTTCTGGACTATTTGAGTCGTGGCTCTTTGACTGCGAGAGTGATGTGAGTCTTCTCACTATACTATGTAGGATGCTAGCTAACTTTGTGACTCTTGTATTGTAAGTTGGGCTGGGCCCGTTATGGTTGGTGGGGGTTTGATATTATGTATGGTATGTGGTATTTTGGGTAACTCACTAAGCTTTGTGCTTACGGTTTATGTTTAAAATGTTTTTTAGGTACTTCCGGTTCCAAATGCAAGGGTCCAGCTTGATCGAACTACATCCCCTAGAGATTTATTCCGCACTGACTATATTTTATTTTACACTGATGTTTTGAGAATAATTTTACTCTGATGGTCTTTTGGAACAAATGAATGAAATTTGTTTATTAATGAAAATGAAATTTTTTTATTAATGAAAATGAAATTTTCACTCAGTATTTTTGGGACGTTAAATGCTTTCTATTAAGACTTATTTGGATATGTATAAATCTCTTAAAAGTAACTTATTAACAAGTGTTATACTAGCATATGTTGGTGGATTAATTATTGTTTGGTGGATACTTCTAGAGAACTCTTCTTTTAGAGTTTCAAGACATTTTCATCAACTTCAACCTCCCATGAGGATCAAAGTCTTCAAAGGTTATAATACTTTTCTTTCTATGGTTGTTTTTATCTTTCTAAGTCTTGCAAAATGATCTTTTGTTGGGAATAAAGCTAGTTTTATTTTGTTCAAAATTGAAGTCTTTCGTTGCTATCTTTGTGTTTATGAAACAATTTTTGAATAAAAACCCAACAGATATATGTGGGGTTTTGCTCTATAATTTCGTTATACATAGGGGTGCAAACGAGCTAAGCTACTCGTGAGCTACTCAGGATCGACTCGGTAAAAGCTCGACTCGAGATCGAATTTTAAAAAGCCCGAGCCGAGCCCGAGCCTAATTTTAGGCTTGTTTATTAAACAAGCTTGAGCTCGAGCATGTATAACAAAGATCGATTAGGCTCGCGAGCCTAAACGAGCCTATATATAAACATACTACATATATTTTTACTTTTATATTATATATATTAAAATATAAATTTGGAAAATTATGCAAGTTGGTTTTGGGTATCCCGTACATATCAGAGAGCTTCATTCACGATTTCATATCAAAAAATGAACCGACAGTCTGCCTCTCCTCAACTCTCTCCACCGTTTCTGTGATCCATTGATCCGACGAGTGATATCGACGGCGACCACGCACTCCATCCAGCACGACGACGACCATCGACGTGTGCCCTCCAATCGACCATCATCATACGACATCAAGCACCGTCATCCGATATCTAGTTATCTCGAATTAAGGAATGCACTCTCATCTTCACATTCTTCCTTAATTCCGATGACCTCCATACGACCATTTTCTTCGTACTGTCATTTCCCATTGTCAATTTGTCATCTCACTATCTGTTTTTTTTTTCTGCTGAGTCGATGCCTCAAACGTAAGTTATTATTTTTTTCATCAATTTCTTTGGTGACTCAGACACATACTCACATCTATTTCATGTTGCATTTGTTTAGTTTTACTTAGTTGAGTATGATTAATTGATTATCAAATAACTCATATTATTCATGGCTGGTAGTTCAAGATCCTTATCAGGAAATAAATTAATGATGAACTGAATATGCTTGTTATTTATTAAATGTACATAGTTTGACATATGTCCTTCCATAAACCATGCTCATGTTTTATGGATGGTGGTGTGAGTTCAAATCCAATGGAAGGGGTTGACAATAAGGAGTAATCTGCTCCTATAAATCTAGATGTTGATGAACAACCAAATCCTGAAAATCATATTCCAAGTGACAATGGCAGTATTGGACAGAAAAATACAGAAATGAAAGGGGGGGGGGAAGAGGAAATAGTAGTGAAAAAAATGAAAAAAATATCCAAGGCATGGGAAGGTTTCACTATAGTGACTCTATCTAATGGTACCAAAAAAGCTCAGTGTAATCATTGTAAAACAAAGTTAAGTTATAGTGGAAGCGGGACTACATCAACATGTTCAAGTCACTTGCTTATATGCAAGACAGATAAAGATTGTGAACACAAGCAGAATTTATTGAATTTTACACCTATTAGGTCTGATGGGGATGCAAGACATGAGAGGCTTCCTTCATTAATCAGGCCTGATGCAAAGTATGATAGTACCAAAATGAGAGAAGCAATAGCTACTTGTGGTACTGAGCAACCTTTTGTTGTTGTGGAGGATGATTTGTTTGTGCATATGATGAAGACAGGTACTCCATTGTTTGAGAAAACAAGAAGGACTTCAACCAAATCGGATTGTTTTAAGATATACGAGAATGAGAAAAAAAAACACTGAATGCTCTTACAAAAGCAGCCTCAAAACTCAGTTTGACCACTGAGTTTTGGAATTCATCTCATCAGAAGATTGAGCATATGGTTATCACAGGGCACTTTATTGATCAAAATTGGAGGTTTGATTTCCTTCTATATTTTTTAATAACTTTGTCCATTTTATTTAATATATTTATATTTGTATTTGGACTTACTTTTGTACATTGCAAAAACGTTTCTTGAGTTTTGTACATGCTCCTCCTCCTCGTACCGAACTTGATATTGCTGATGGTATTTATAAATGTTTGAAGGTTCGGCAAATTGAGGAAAATATATTCATGATATCTATAGACAATGTTTCATACAATGCCAGGGCATTGACAAAACTGAAAGAATTTTTTTCTAGAGTGAGAAAACTCACGTATGGTGGTAAGTTGTTTCATGTTAGATGTTGTGCACACATTTTGAATCTTCTTGTGAAAGATGGTCTTGCTATGACTGATTCTGTTATCGGGGAAGTTCGGGAGGATATAAAATAAATTAACAATTCTGAAGCGAGACTTCAAACATTTTCAAATATTGCACATCAACTACAAATACAAGATAGAAAGTTATTGCTTGATGTTCCTACACGATCGAATTCAACCTATGATATGTTGTCGGTTGCATTAAATTTAAAGATGTTTTCCAAGGTACACATCAGGATTTATAAAAAATAGTTTTGAATGTTGTGATTTTTAGATTTTCAAATATTACACATCATTAAGTTTTTGTGATTTTCATAGATTTGCGGAGTACGAGCCACATTCCATCACCTGCCTAACGACGAGGAGTGGGCACATGTGGAGAGCGTATGTGAAATCTTGAAGGTTTCCAAGGTGCATATTACTTTTATTTAAGTGTTCTTTCAAATATGTTGCCATGCCTAATAATAAAGCAACTTACTTTGAGGTATGCACAAATGTCATTTCTGGAAGTGATTATCCAACATCTAATCTGTATTTGATTTAGGTGTCTAAATTAAAAGAAAATTTGTATAAACGTGCTCTGTCATAAAATGAATTCATTAGGACTATGGTGATTAAGATGAAAGAAAAGTTTGACAAATATTGGGGGGAGTGTCATCTTGTTATAGCTATAGCTTCAGTGTTAGATCCAAGATTCAAAATGAAGTTAGTAGAATTTAGTTTCCCAACCATATACCCCAATGTTGAAAAGAACATTCAAGAGGTGAAGAAATCACTTTATGAAGTGTACGAGGAGTATTTGGAAATACATGATGCATAAGTCTGAGAAGCTATAACGACTGCAAATGGATGCGAAGGAAGTGATGTTTCAAAAAGAACATCACTCGGGTCGGGATGGGAGGATTTTGGGGAGTTTATAAAAAATACAGTTTTGGAAAGACCAAAAAAGTCAGAATTACATATGTATTTAGAAGAAGGTGTTTATAGGGACTACAGACAAAAAGGAATGGATTCATTCAAGGCTTTGGAGTGGTGGAATATTCATAAACTAAAGTACCATGTCTTATCGAAGATGGCTATGGATGTGCTTGTGATCCCGATTTCTACCGTTGCATCTAAGGCAACATTTAGTGTTGGGGGTAGATTAATTGATCGATACATATCTTCATTGGCACCGGACACTGTTCAAAAGTTGATTTGTGGAGGAGATTGGATTAGACATCGTTATGGACTCAAGAAAAAATTGAAGGTACATTTGAGAAACTTAAACACATAAACTAACAATTGATTATTTAAATTTACTAATATTTGATCGTGTTCAGTTCTTTTTACACAAAGAGGAAATGCCCATTGAAGTTTTATTACCTACGGGGACAAGTAATAGTTAAAGGTGTAAGCCATTTTAATCTACTTGTAATTTTATTGGTTTAATTACATTATATTGCACATCTCATCAAATGTTTTAATTTGCATATTTTGATGGATTGAATTTGCTTCAAGGAATATTGGCTTTTGAGTTTTGATAATATGTTAGGTTAAAATTTAATCGTTTTTATAGTACTTTTGTAATTTGAACTTCTATGATAGGAGGGACTTTCTTGGATGATTTAATCACATTTTAGGTTTGTATTTTGGAGTTTAAAACTTATGTAATTTGAAGATTTTATTTCTACATCTTGGATGGAGTTTAAGTAGGTTGCACCTTATCTATATCGGGAAACATAATCTTGAACACTGTGAGTGACCCTTATCTATGTCTCAGGTTCATATAGATATCATAGAACAAACGGATGGTCAATCACTTATCTAAGGGTTGAATCCAGATTAGATCAGAGTTCAGTAGTTGCATTGGATTGCTGACTCTCATTTGATTATTAGAAAAGTATTAGACCTCGTATAGTTAATGACTTGTCCAAGTGGGAGACTGTTGGAAAGAGTTTCCAAGGTCATTAACTAGTGGTAATATTTTTAATAATAACATGGTCCTTTTGGGTTGCCCTCAAGAACCAATTTGAGTAAAATAAATAAAGAAGAAATTAGTTTATTAATTATTATGGTTTAATAATTAACCAGAAACTAACTGTGACAACCGTCAATTTTTGGCCAAGTCAAAGTCAACTAAAGTCAACAAGTCAAACCGGTCAACTCATCTAACCCTTGTATATTAGGGTTTCCGTTACGTTTCTTATTGTAGAACTCGCAATCCAAATACAAAGTATCAATTAGAGTTTTCACGTGTTCGGAAATTCTAAATCCTAATTAGGGCAAGTGATGAAACTATTCGATAAAACATTATTCCTTAACCCTCGGGGGCATATAACAATCATAACGAGACTTAACGAGGTTTACAAACCTTGCGTTACAAAGCCAAACACTCAAAAAGGTCACAACAAAAAAGAAGTCTCTCCCAATCCTTTAACTCTGCTCTCTCTACCTCAAATCTCTCTAAGTATGTGAAATCTCTCCCAAATCTCTCTAAGTATGTGAAATCTCTCCCAAATCTATCCAAGTATGTGAAATCTCTCCTAAATCTCTCTCTGTATGAGAAATCTCTCTAAGTATGTGAAATATCTCCCAAATCTCTCCAAGTATGTGAAATCTCTCCCAAATCTCTCTCTGTATGAGAAATCTCTCTAAGTATGTGAAATCTCTCCCAAATCTCTCTCTGAATGAGAAATCTCTCCAAGTGTGTGAAATCTCTCCCGAATCTCTCTCTAAATGAGAAATCTCTCCCAAATCTCTCTCTGAATGAGAAATCTCTCCAAGTGTGTGAAATCTCTCCCAAATCTCTCTCTGTATGAGAAATCTCTCCAAGTGTGTGAAATCTCTCCCAAATCTCTCTCAACTTCTTATAATCACTCGGGGCATCCCGACCCTTAATTTAATCGAAAACCGCTCGAAAACGGAAGTTTACGTGAAAAACAGCCTTAAGGAGCCGAACCCTATTAAGGAGCCGAACCTCCCTTAAGGAACCGAAACCTCCTGAGAACCGAAACCACCTCCTGAACCGAACCTGCTAAGGAACCGAACTTAACCTTCGGTCCGAGAGGCTACCTTCGGTCCGAGAACACTACCTTCGGTCCCTTCTGATGAGTCGCCTGTGAGACCTCTCGGTTCCCATGTACAATCGAACCCTACCTTCGGTTCTATGCTCCTAAGGAGCCGAACCTTCGCACCTCGGTCCTGAATTCGGATTTAGCATTTCACCCGGTTTCAATATTTTTTAGCGTTTTGAGCCCGTTTTTTCGTGATTTTAACGCGGGATTTTCACCCAAACTCGTATATTTTAACATAATAAACCCTAAATATTCATATTTTAATTATATTTTGGGGAAAATCCTTGCCGAAGGATAAAATCTAGTAGGTAAGATTTATGGGTGGAGTGTTGACTTTGCCTTAGTGTATGACACAAGCAACCACTCCATACCCACTCAATGACCAGCCCTTGTCCTTCCACCATACCTGGTCATTTCATTATCCTTTCCCACCATTTTTCCAGCCACACTCTTGGTCAAAGGCTCGAAACCCTTATCCCTCCTCACATTTCTCTCATTTCTCTCATTCTCCACCAAAGAACAAACTCCATCCCTCTCTCACTCTCTCTCTAAAATTCGAGATTTCAAGCTGATTTTCAAGTTCTTCATCGACTTTGGTAAGTAATATTATCCTTCATATGATTATTCCACCTCTTTCTACTCAAATCATAGGTTGCTTACACAAACTTCATCATATTTGTGTTAGTTCTTCGAATCTTCAAGCAATCTTCTAAGTGTTCTTGAGTTGAACACTACCTTTCTTCAACATCCACCCACTGAAATCACACAAGGTGAGTTCATACCCCTACATTTTCATGTTTTTCTTCAAGTGTTTAGGGGGGGAGTACAAGTTAAAACACCAAAAAAACTAAATTCAAACAAACAGCTTTCATCAGAAAAGTTGAGTCTTATTCACGGACTGTTTTTACTATCTTAAACATAATATATTTCAAAACTGTTTACTATGCAAATAGTTCAGGTTCATACCTTTAAAATGACTACTTCCACATCTCCATACGATTTTTCTACGATTTATGGTGATTTTTACAAAACGGCATATCCTTTCATAAACGAATCCGGACCAGTCTGTGAATATGAACATTTTAACTCAAGTTAAAGACTTCTAAAAATCATAATAAAATATACGAATAAACTAGACACATTTTTTGAACTCTCAGAATTTACGGATTCAGTTTTCGACTTCGTATGATTTGTCTATGATTTTTTTTCTTAAACAGTGTAGAAAGGTCAAAATCTAGATAACAGCTTATAACTTTCATCACACTTTGTAACTTGTTGAGCAAAGTGTTAATCTTTGAGGATTTCATATTTTATATGTGTTTCTTGTTGTGGTATAATTATATAACAGAAAATACTCACTGAATTGTAAGAATCCTCCACCATTACCATTAGTACAAAACAAGGCATGATAAACATAGTTATATTTTTGCTATACATTCGACTTACATAAAAAAAGGGTTGTTATACACCACAAACAAACATGCTAAACTATAATAGGTATAGTTAGGTTGCATATACATTACAAACATTTTGATAAATTATAATAGGTATAATTTATGTTCATTTACATTACAAAAAGTTTTTTTTACAAAAAGGGTACAAATACAAAGTACCGGGTTTTCATACAAAAAGGGGTACAAATATAAAGTACCAGATTCATACAAAAAGGGGTACAAATACAAAGTATCGGGTTTATACAAAAAAGGGGTACAAATACAAAGTACCAGGTTTTCATACAAAAAGGAGTACAAATACAAAGTACCGGGTTCATACAAAAAGGGGTACAAATACAAAGTACCGGGTTCATACAAAAAGGGGTACAAATACAAAGTATCGGGTTCATACAAAAAGGGGTACAAATACAAAGTACCGGGTTCATACAAAAAGGGGTACAAATACAAAGTACCAGGTTTACACAAAATGGTTTTTATGATATTACAAATAAAGTACCAGGTTTACACAAAATATCGTTAGAATTGTTAGTTTTCAGCTATAATTGCTAAGTGTACATGTTAGAGTTATATAAAATTGAATTGAAATCGACTTAGAATTGGTGGGCCCGCCTTATCTCCTATTCCTTGTTTGGTTGTGGACCTAGGGCAGACCCATTATATTTAACGGTTTATTTAACTTAAATTTTATATAACTTATATACGCTGAGTGATTATAGAAGGAATCTATGGTTCTTTCTAGGGTTCATTATCGCATAACATAGGAGCATTCATTTCACACTTAACTAAGAAAATATTGGATTTTCTGGAAATCATACTCTATCGCTTTTACAAGGAAAACGGTTTCTTTCTCAAACAAAACTCTTATGAACTCACTAACTTAATTGTTGACATTTTTCAAAACTACTTGTATTCTCAGGAAATCAGTGAAACAGGAAAACATCAGCACTTTGAGGATGGGACGTTAAATCGTCAAACAGTTTATTTTGTCATCATAATGTAATTGATTTTGAAACATGTAAACATATACTATGGTGTAACATTTTCAATTATATTTATGATGGTTGTATTTACTTTGAGCACTATTATACTCGTTGTTGTGATACTTTACATGAAGTCCTCCACCCCCGGACGTTTCCGCCATCCTTGGTTTGGGGGTGTGACAGATTGGTATCAGAGCATTGTTTATAGTGAACGAAGTATATCGAACCACATAAGATATACAAACTATAAATGCATTGGGACAAAAGTCTCTGATTAAACGTTTTCGAAAGACTATACTTTTAGAAATAAATAGTTTCTTGTTAAAATCATACATTCATGCATGCATACTTAGGTCAGCATCATACTAGAACAAAACAAAAGTAATGATTGTTGAATGTCACAAGTAGGCTTGGGGATGTATAGTTAGGTATGGGAATGACATAGCCTGATCAACTATGTCTAACCCAGAAGTGATTAGCATATGCCCGGGAATGGTTGTGGTGTTGCAACAAGTCTAAAAACTTACCAACTCTATCTACGAACAAACATTGAAAAACATAAGTCAAACATTCAAAATACTATAGGAGTATTTTGTGCTACTATAACCAACTTATGTGAAAACTAAAGACCCCTATTAGTAGGTTTATAATGACTGAGTGCATACGCTAAGGTTATACATAATTAAAGATATTATAGACTCAGAATCTATGACTATTGCTCTACTTCATGTTCCTTATTTGGTTGTGGACTTAGAGTAGAGTCATTTATCCGAAGGTCTATTCCATCTCAGATTATGTATAACTGGTATGCACTATGTGATTATAGACATGACTGATAAGGATCACCCCCTATAAGTAATTATAGGATTAGACGCCTATTAATCATCTCTTCTACCCC